GTTTTATGCTGTTTTTATCTGTTTTAACTTTGGCACTTGTGCCTCGTTGTTAGCCGCCCTGAGCCTTTGGGGAGGGCGGGATATAAAGCCAAAAATAAATAAATAAATAAATATAAATATTTGATTGCGAGGGGAGAGGTTGGTCAGTATGAGCATACATTTGTGTAATATGGCACGAGAGGCTATATTGATAAACTATTACATCCTTGTTCAGCCTTCTAAATGTGCTGTGAACTGAGATTTTTAGTTTTATTCATTTACATTATTTATAGCTCACCTTTCTCAGCGGGGCCCAAGATGCATTACACGCAGTGAATCAACACGATGAAACAGTATGGGATATTCAGTAAACGATGAAATAGGATTTGGGATGTAGACCAACCAGATATCTAAAAACCAGAACTGAAGCAAAGCATAAATGTTAACAGGCCACATTAATTGATGCAGAATTACATAGCAGAATCCAATTGACAGCAAGCTGTACACATAATATAGACCACAGTCCCTAGTAATTTGTCCAAGTAATTTTGTGAAGCATTTTGTACAGTGCCACCCTCATGGAAAAGCCCTCTTGAATGATTCAGTTTTGCATAGTTTGCGGAAAGCCTGGAGAGTGGGAGCCAGTTAATTCTCGTCAGCATCTCCTTCCTTTCCTTTTTTAAATGTGTCAGTAGAGGTTCATACTGAAGATCCAAATAATGGTAAACATTATCTTACAGAATATGCCATGTGCAGCCTTAGGGATAAACACATGAGACAGTCCTTTAGTACTATCCAAGTACATGTATATGTTGGTTTCATAGGGGTATGTACCTATGGCTCCAGATAAAATCATCTTTATTCACTTGGACTTTTAGTTAAGTTTCTTTTAACTGCTGTTTTAACACCCATTTTTACTGTCTAGTATTTGAGAAGTAGTTGCTTCATTTCGATAACTAGGCCCTAGGTTTGTGCTTTGATTTAGAATCAGGATAATTACAGGGCAGCTTCATTTGTTATGGATGCGGTTATTTTAGCTCATGTTATCCCAGGCCCCAGGGATATTAAATTTGCTGTTACCAGAGCCAGGGCATTTTCAGTGGCGGCTCCTACCTGGTGGAAGGAGCTCCTGGAGGAGATCCAGGCCCTGCGGGACCTTTCTCAGCTCCGCAGGGCCTGTAAGACGGAGCTCTTCCGCCTGCCCCCACTATTCCACCATCGCTATTCATGCATCATCGCACCACTACCACCACTATGTGGTTCCATCGGGGTGCGAGGTGACCCTGGAAGGAGAAGGGATGACAGGCTATGGGAACCTGCCGTTGGATTAAGATCTACCCCATCTTGTGACAAATGGAGCACTGAACTTTGGTGTATGTATTATATTGTTTTATGCTGTTTTTATCTGTTTTAACTTTGGCACTTGTGCCTCGTTGTTAGCCGCCCTGAGCCTTTGGGGAGGGCAGGATATAAATCCAAAAATAAATAAATAAATATAAATACTTGATTGCGAGGGGTGCGGTTGGTCAGTATGAGCATAAATTTGTGTAATATGGCACAAGAGGTTATATTGATAAACGATTACATCCTTGATCAGCCTTCTAAATGTGCTGTGAACTGAGTTGTTGTTTCACATTACCAAATCACATTTGTAGTCTGTTTTTCCAAGAAATTCAGTGGGAGTTATCCCACTTTATCTTCACAACAACCCTATGAGGTCAGATTATGAAATAGGACCCCTTGTCCACATGTTTGTTCACTTGAATGCAGATCTCCCCAGTCCAAGTCTGTACTGTATCCACTGCTTCATAGTAGGTAGTACTATTTATATAAACGGTCTCAATTCTTGTCAGAAGAATTTATTCTTGTTGTATTGTGTTGCTCAGCCAGCGTGGTGTAGAGATTAAAGTGCCAGACCAGGGTCTGGGGATCCAGTTTAGAGTGTCCACTATCCTGTGAAGACTCACTGAGAGACCTTGGGCTAGTTGTTTCCTTTGCCTTGACCTGTCTCCCAGGGTGGTTGTTAGGGAAAAAGTGGAAGAGAATGATATCGTAAGCCCATTTTTGTCCTCATTGGGGAGAGAAGCAGTGTATAAATGCCTAAATAAATGCACTGCCTTGGCTTTGAAGATGCAGCCATATTTTATGGCTCAGCGAATAATACTGTTGGAGGACCATAGTTGTTACTATAATAAGTACTACTAGTAAGTGAAAACGCCTAGGCTTCACCTTGCTAGACTTTGTGAATAGCCAATTAATCCTTTCAACGAATGGCAAATAATAAGAATGAGCAATTTAATCATGTTGGTCTCCAATAGAAGAAGTATGGTAGCACCTCAAAGACCGAGATTTCCAGGCTATAAGCTTTTGAGAGTCAAAGCTCCTTTTATCAGGTATAAGTAGGAGTCACTTGTATCTGACGAAGAGCACTTTGACTCTTGACAGCTTACATCCTAGAAATCTTGTTGGCCTTTAAAGTGCTACTGTATTCAAACT